TCCCAGGAACTGGATCTCTCGGGCAGGTCCCTTGACTTTACTCTTTTTGATGGCAAACCCAGCTTCCAGGAGAATCTGTATGATCTTCTTTCCTTTCTTGGAGACCTCTTCTGCTGTGTCCCCCCATACGATGATGTCATCAATGTACTGCAGGTGTTCTGGAGATTCACCTTTCTCTAGCGTAGCCTGGATCAATCCGTGGCAGATGGTGGGACTGTGTTTCCACCCCTGGGGCAGTCGGTTCCACGGGTACTGCATGCCCCTCCACGTGAAAGCAAACTGCGGCCTGTACTCTGCCGCCAAGGGAATGGAGAAGAACGCATTCACGATGTCAGTTATGGCGTACCACTTCGCTGCCTTAGACTCCAGCTTGTACTGGAGCTCCAACATGTCTGGAACAGCAGCACTCAGTGGCAGGGGGGCTTCATTCAGGCCACGATAGTCCACAGTCAATCTCCATTCTCCTTCAGATTTGTGCACAGGCCAGACGGGACTGTTGAAGGGGGAGTGGATCCTGCTGATCACTCCTTGGCTCTCCAGCTCGGGATCATCCTATGGATGGGGATCACAGAGTCTTGGTTCGTTCGGTACTGCCGACGGTGCACTATTGTAGTGGCAATTGGCATTTGCTGTTCCTCAACCTTCAACGGTCCCACAGCAGAAGGGTTCTCCGAGAGACCAGGTAGTGAATTCAACTGCTTAGCCGCTTCTGTCTCCACAGCAGCTATCCCGAAAGCCCACCTATGTCCCTTGGGGTCTTTGAAATACCCATTCCTAAGGTAGTCAATGCCCAGGATACATGAGGCATCTGGACCGGTCACAATGGGGTGCTTCTGCCACTCCTTCCCGGTCAAACTCACTTCAGCTTCCAACACGGTCAACTGCTGCGACCCTCCTGTCACCCCAGAAATGGAAATAACCTCTGGTCCCACATGTCCTGAGGGCATTAATGTGCATTGAGCGCCAGTGTCAACCAAAGCCTTATATTCTTGTGGGTTTGATGTGCCAGGCGATCGGATCCACACCGTCCAATAGACACAGTTGTCCCGTGCCTCTACCTGGCTAGAGGCAGGGCCCCTCTAGTACTGGTTTCTGTCCTGCTCATCACAGGTTTCCGTCTGCAAATACTGGCAGGGGGTACCTTCTAGTGGGTCAGATCTCTGCCTATGGGATACCGGCACTGCACTCACTTTCACAGAATTTGTTTTTCTTTGGTCCTTCAACTCTTGTACTCGGGCTGCCAAGACATGGGTAGGTTTCCTGTCCCACTGTCTCATGTCTTCTCCATGTCCAGATAGGAAATACCACAGCTCGGTTCGTGAGGTCTGTCTACCCCCTCTAGCTGGGGGACACCCGGTTCTCACTGGTGCCATGTGGGAGCTGTTTCTCTTCATCTGTTCTAGCATTTCCTTTTGTTGATCTTGTAGTTGTGTAGCTATGGTAGTGAGGTTATCGACTGAGGTCTCTACAGAGGAAACACGGGCTTGTAGTGATTCTTGGACCATACTGTCGTACATCCAAAGTTTATTTACTATAAGCGCCACTGACTCACTCTTTTCCCCAGCATCCAGTGATGTCAGGTAACTGACATGTGCAGATGGCCCCATACGCATGAAGGTCCACCACATGTATGGTGTACATCTAACCTGGTCAGGATCGTGACTAGCTTGCATATCTCTTCCAAACAGTACTTCCAACAGTGCCATTTCCCTCAGGCGTTGGATCCCCTCCTCCATGGTCTTCCAACCCTTCGCAAAATGGTCTTTCTGCAAGGCCTCTCTGTAAACGAATCTCCCTCTCACAGCATCCAGCAGTCGTGCCCAGAGAGACAGGGGCTTTGATTCTCTCACAAATGCCTCTTCAATGCCCACATCCTGGGCAATAGACCTCAAATACCTTGCTTCACCACTATCAAGGTTTATGGCATCACCTGTAGAGTCCCAGACTCGGATCATCCAGGTCAGTATAGGCTCATCCGGGTGACGAATGACGTCTGCCCGTAATTTCTGGAGGTTGTCAAACGATAAGGACTCAGTGATGATTTCTGGCTCCAGGTTGGCTGCCTGTGAGGGTCCTGCTTCCCCATCATCACCAACTGGGTGGGCTGATTTGGTCTTATAATTCTTCTTTTGGATAGGGGCAACCTCCATTGACTTGTTTGGTCTCTTGGAGCTGGCCTTCTCTGGAGTCACCCTTGAATCAGGCCTCTCGTTTTCATCTTTTCCTTTTCCCTGTGAGGGCTGCACTATACCGAGCACCTTTTTGTAGGCAACGGCTAAAGCCCCACATGCATCTACCAACTGCATCTCTATGGGTTTATCACGACCTCTCTCCCTCACAGTTGTTATTATCTGTGTAGGGTCTAGGAATTGTTCGAGAGTGAACTTCCATGTTGGAGGAACTGAACCATTTTCTAGAAATTTACCCAAGTCCTCCCATGGCCCATGCCACTCAAGTTTTTCCACCCCTGGGGCTGGCTTCTGTGCCCGTTCTTGGTTAATCCTGGACCTAACCACGAATATTAGATATGACACCGTGGCAATAGATATGATACCTTGCACAAAAGAGAAAATGTCTCTTACATCTAAAGAGAGTTTATATCTCTCAGAGGCCATTGTATTGGAACCAAAGGGAAAATGTATGAAGGGCTGGGCAAATATATCCCCCTGTGTTTCTCCATAGGGATAGGTGCCATTATCCTTAAAACCCCAAAGGAGACAGTGTAGGTTAGAGCAGTAATATATTCGTGAGAACATATCCCGAAGGAAAATAACAGGTGCTGAGTTTGTTATGTCATAACACCAGTGCGAGATCTCAAACATACTTATTGCAATGAGGGTCATAGTGTCTGAGCTGAAAAACATCGACAGGTGGGACATGGATCTCGGCATAATCATATACCACAGAAAAGCAGCAATCTTAGACTTCATGGTGCTTACAGGTTCACCAACACGTATAAAGTCACACAAGGGCAGTTATTCCTTTTCCACTTTTCCTCTCTTGGACCCCACGTCTGGCATCAATAAATGTCCCAGTTTAAATGAGACAAAGGTTTTTTACTGAGGATGGATTAGGAGAAAGAGACCCAAACTTCCTTTTCTAACAATTATAAATCCAAAATTAAGAGGCTCCGATTGAAGGAAAAACAAATTATGGAAAAGGGAAAAATAACAGCCCTTTATTAAAAGGTATGTGTGTATTAACAGGAACATGAAAAAAAAACCAAGTAAAAGAACCAAGCAATACCCCTATACCCACCAATAATCCCCTTCAAGAACAAAACCGATAAAACCGGCAAAAATGAAAATTAAATAGTTCAATTTTTTAGCACCCTTTGGTGCAGTTCCAACCACAGTCTACAGGGGGCGCCGTTGGGTCACTGGAGATGCAAAACTTGTAATGTCTTATACCATTCACCAGGTGGCGCTGTTGAGTTATCAAAAAGTGCAGAACTTGTACTGTTCTATAGTAGTCACCAGGTGGCGCTGTTGAGTTATCAAAAAGTGCAGAACTTTTAATGTTCTATAGTAGTCACCAGGTGGCGCTGTTGGATCACTGGAGGAGTAGAACTTGTAATGTCCAGTACCCTTCACCAGGCGGCGCTGTGAGATCCTTGGTTGCCACCCGGTGGTGATGGAGGAGGGGAGAAGGGGGAGGGAAACAGAAAGTTCTCCCAATGGAAGAAAACTCACGATTTTCAGTTGGTGAGGATTTCGCGGTGAGCTAGGCCTGCAACTAGCAAACAACTACGCAGAGAACAGCAGCAAAACTCTCCTCCGACAGGAAAAGACAAAGAAGAAACCAGTCAGTCTCTCCTCCCGCTTGCTGCTGCTTCCCCGCCGGCTCCAGAGCTGAACTCCAACCCCCCCAGAGCTGAGCTCCAACCCTCCAAACCCCATCTCCTTCCCCTTCGTTGCTAGGAGATTAATGTCTCGGTCATTTAGGACTCAGGCCAACTCCTTTGTTTATCTGATGGCTCATTAACAGCACACACGAAGGGTGGGGGGGGAAGGGGAAAGGAAAGACAAAATTCCTTGCTAAAATCAGAACTATGACATACAAGCAGTACATGGTGTGAATTTTCAGCATATTGTCTTATGAGTTTTTTCCACTCTTGTTCAAAGAGGGAATATTGCATTAGGTTTAAAAGCCCTTTGGCAATTACTCTGATGTCAGCTGGTGTCAGGGTATATGCTGCAAATAAAGAATCTATCATCCCTGAAACAAAAGGAGAATTCAATCCGTAGTCTGTAACTTTTTCGCGTCCCGTAGGATGGGGTATGGAACCGGTTCCCATAGGGGTTCTCGGTTATTTTCTCGGAAAACTGGGAAAACTTTCATTAATTCCAGGTCCCCTGCATCTTCTGCCTGCTTCCGAGGACCCTACCATTTGTTCTCAGAGGCAGGAGAGTCGTTGTCTGTGTCACTGCAGGCTGGGGTGTCAGTGCAGTCAGAGGTAAGCAGGCTTCGGCCCGTCCCCCCTGGGAACCTGACTCTGCGTGGTTGTGGGGAAGGAGAGGGGGTGGAGTCAGGGCTGACATCATCCCGGAGTGGGGGCGTGGTTAGCTGCTTCGCACGCCTTAGAGTGGAGAGGGAGCTCTCGGCTCCGTCTTGTGAGCTCGGTGGGCGGGGTTTCTTAGTTTTCGCGGGTTTTTTGAACGGAAGAGAAGGGCTTCCCCTGCCATTTTCAGCATGTTTCTGTTTTTTCAAATGGGGAAGTATCAGACGCCAGGACATGAGCGAGAGACCTGCAGCCTTATCGCCTTGTTCGAAGGTGTGTGCCAGCGTCTCTCCCAGCTGATACCAGTGGCGGTATGTTAGTAAGTCTGTGGAGATTAGTTTGTTTTTGGAGAGCCATTTCACTAAAGCTTTGAGGGATTTTTTTATCTAACAGAAGTCCCTCGGATCTTATTAAAGTTTTAATTCGTTTGTAAAACTGCTTCTCCAATCGAGAGAGCTTATTTCCCATAGTTGAGGGTAAAAAGGGGTTCAGAGATCACTCACTCGGATCCACAGCGGGGGTCCAGGTGCGGATGGCTGGATCGGGGCTGTGCTGCGTGTCTCAGCGGCGTGTTCGGCGGCGTGGAGGCAGCGGCAGGCAGCGGCGGCGCTGGGTCGGCTCTGCGCACAGCCAACTCGGTTTCGCAGCGGCGGTAGCACTGGTCCGGGTGTGGCGGCGCCGGTCCCCTCCGTCCCGCGGCGAGATGCCGCGCCTCCGGCAACCGTGCCCGGGCCGTGCCAGCCGAGCTGCTTTCGGCGGCGGCCGCTTGGTTCCCGGCACGGAGAGGGGGGGTGCCGGGGGCGGCGCTGGCTCGCGGCGCGCTGGTTGTGTCAGGCGGCCGCTCGGCTTTAGGAGCCGGGGCGGTCGGGGTCTGGGCTGCCACCGTGTCGAGGCGGGGGTCGGTGCCGCAGGGTCTGACCGGGCCCCGTGCTGCGCTCCACGCGGCGCGAGGAGGGGGGAGTCCCCGGTGCGCGCATCCGCCGGGCCATCCGGGGTCGAGGCCACTCCTGCAGGGCGGCCGCGTGGGCGGCAGGGACGGGAGCAGCGCTCAGCGCTGCCCAGGCCGTGCGGCTGTTCGGGTCGTCCTGCACATCCTGGAGCTGCAGCTGTCAAGGCACTCCTAGATGGATCTCTTCCTCTGGGACCTCTGCAGTCTTCCTGCATCCTTCTCCATTGTCTATAGGCTCCTGCGGGCCCACTTCCCACAGGCACTCTCTCCTGAAATGACCTATTTTTCCACAATAATAGCACTCTCCCTTCCTCTCTTTTACAGGTGAGCGGGTTAAATTTTCTCTTAGCTTTTGTGACACTTGAGGAGGTCTTTTGGGAATCTGAACTTCTTGTTCTTTGCTGCCTCCATGATAACTATGTTTATTCTGTGGCATCTTTGTGTATCCCTGCCCTGTGGTCTGTCTTTCCCCTTGTTTGTTCACTTCTTTAACTGTGGCTACCATTAGCCGGGTTTTCTGCTTCTGTCGCTCCTCATCCCTCCGAACATATACTTTCTGTGCTTCCTTTAACAGTTCGTTCAAATCTCTTTCACTCCAGTCTTCCAGCTTCTCTAACTTTTTCCTAATATCTATCCATGAGTGAGTCACAAAGTTGGCCTTCAACAACTGCTGCCCTGTCGGAGTATCTACTTGAACTTCTGAATATTGCTGTATATTTCTCTTTAGTCTCTCCAACCATTCAGTAGGTTACTCATCCCTTCCCTGCCTCTCATCAAAGGCCTTGACCATATTCTGTACCCGGGGTACTGCTTCCCTGATCCCTTTCACAATACAATTCCGATAGTCTATCATATTTTGCCTTCCCTCTTGTGTATTCTGATTCCAATTTGGACGAGCCACAGGCATCTTCTGTTCTCCATTTTGACCACGCACCCCCTGGGGATGTTCCCTATCCCACACACGGATTCCTGCTGCTCTAATCATGTTCCTTTCCTCTACAGAAAATAATATTCCTATTATACTTTGCATTTCCTCCCATGTGTATACACTAGGTCCTAAGAACTGATCAAATTGCTCTGCTAGACCTAATGGATCTTCCAGAATTTTTTTCATTCCTTTTGTAAATTCTCATACTTCAGTGCTTGTTAGAGGAACATTCACATAACCTATGCCCCCTTCTGCTCCTTGCATCGGAACCTCTCTAAGGGGATACAGTTCCTTGGGTGCCTCTGAGCCCTGCCCCCTCCTGGTTCTACTCCGTGTCCAGGGAGGACTCGGAGAAGGTGCGGAACTTGGGTCTTGCACCTCATTTTCCCCAGGATTAAGCGGGGGAGGATTCGGGATCATATTACCTGTAAGATTTTCTAAAGGGTCCCACTCAGAACCCTTTTTCTTTTTCTCATCTTTTTGTTCACTACTTGCCGTATGAACCAGGAATAGCCCAACAGACCCTGTCCAGCAGGCTGCATATTCACTTTCCTCTGTATTCCGGGGTTCTCTTTTATTCACATAAGCATTCAATGCCCGACAAATCCACTTTTCAAACAAACCAAACTGTCTGTTCTTATGGGACTTTTTGTCCATTCATACATACAGTATTGGATCATGACTGCTTTGTCTTTACCCCGCGTTTTCTCTGATTCGTCCCATGTTTCTAACATTCTCCCCAATGGGCTCTCTTGTGGAATACTGGGGGTCTTTTTTGACCCTCCCTTTCCTGGGGATTTCTTACTTTTGCCTGCCCCCATCCCGAGATGTTGGAACTCACACACTTCGGGATTTAGTCCTCCTTCTCACGTTTTTAAACTTTGCTTTAAACTAAAGTGGAAAGCCGAGAAATTCTGTCTAAACCTGAGAGCAATCGAAAATCTCTGGCTATACCGAAAAGCTGAAGGGCTTCAAAAAGCTGCCAGAAGCCGCCCGGTAAAGCCGAAAGCTGTCAGAATCTTCCGAGAGCCTCCGGCTAAACCTGAAGGTTGCCGAGTTGGTTCTGGCTAACACCGAAAAGCCGAAGGGCTTCAAAAAGCTGCCAGGAACCACCTACTAAAACCGAAAGCTGTTGGAATCTTCCGAAAGCCACTGAGAGTCTCCGGCTAAACCCAAAAGTTGCCAAAAGGTTTCAAAAGGTGCCGGGAGTGTCCTGCACTTGCTGTCCAAATCGAACCACGTGGGTCAACTCCTCCTAACCCCTTCCGAAAGCTCTCTCTTTGAACTGGATCACCTTCAAAATGCTCTCTTCCCTCTGGATCCCCCCGAAAAAGCCTTCAATTGCCACCGGGTCCCCCCAAGAAGCCTTGTTCCCTCTGGATCCCCCCGAAAAAGCCTTCAATTGTCACTGGGTCCCCCCGAGAAGCCGTCTTCCCCCCGGAGCCTTCAATTCTACCAAATACCACCCACGGTTCTCCACTCTGGGAAGTATTCCACTCTTGCCTCACAAAAACTACTTCGTCCTTTCACCAGCCTGTAGAACTGCGGGTACTCCCTATTCACTCTGTATTTTCAGACACCCCTCAGTCGTACAAACTCACACTCCCTGATTCCCCCCCACCTCCCAATATTTTGGGGAAATCTCCCATATCTTACCGAGTTTCATATACGAAGTTTGATGGTTGCCGTGGATTGATTTTTTTTTATACCGGGTCCGGTTTTCCCTTTCTTTGTTTCACGCCGTTCGTCCTAGGATCCTCTGTCGCAACCGTCCCAGGAGAGGGCACAGGTCTCTGGACGGCCGAAATCGGCAGGGCGCGCCTTCCAGGTTCACTGGTTCCCCACCTGGACCGGCGGACGTGATATCCCAGACGAGTCCTCAAATTGTGAGAAATATCTCAAATTAAAATTTCATAGATGGCCAAATAAAGTGAAACAAAGAACTTTATTTTCAGCACGTGCTGGGTGCGGTCAGGTTTGCCTCATGCCAGGACCCAAGAGCACACCCGAGATGGGCGGGGCAGTTCTTTTTAAGGTCTCTTGATTTGCATAACTGTTCCCTCGTTCCTCCCATGCTCAGCTCTGCTCCCTTTCTTCCTTAAAAGGCAATATAGTCTTTTTCTTGAGTCCGATTGGGTCTCTCAGGGCAGGCTCACACTTTTCCAGTCCATTGGTTGTTTTAACCATCCTATCAGATTGTTTCCCTGTCCCAGCTGCATGGTCCCTTGACAATGAGCCCTGACTGGTCTCATTGCCTTACAGGTTTCCCGGTTCGCCTTCACACAGCAATAGCAAGCAACAGTAACATGATCACAACTATTAACAGGTCATGGCTGCAACAGAACTGCAGCCACAGGAACTGCAGAACACCCCTGATCACAAAAACTCCTCATCATGAGGCAATCATGGAAACCCTGCTTGTAATAAAACCATTTCATTTATTTCTCACATCCTGACAAACAGCGAACTCGAAGTCCTGATTCACACTGCCGCTTTTAACACCGTCTCTGGCTAAACTTCAGAGAGGTAGCGAAGTTCGCTTTTAAGACCCTTCCTGGCTAATCATCAGAGGACAGCGGTCCCAGTGTCCCTGTTTTTCGGACGCCACTTATTGGCGGACGGGCTCTGAGACATAAGAATACGACCTATGAGATCTTCAATATGTCCGACTTATTAGGATAGCTCAGGGTTTTTATAGTATCTGTATACAAGGTCTCGTGACAAGAAGTACATAATTGGTTACAGGTCACTGTCCAGATGTAAACATGCATTACAAATACCTTTATAATTGGTTATTAACAGGTAACAAGGTAATTATTTACTTTATCAAACTCCACCTTCTTCTTGACACTAATTTCCTTTTGTTCTAGCAGAGAGACCTGCAACCATCTTGGCACTTATAGAACTTATAAAACTATATAAAAGCTTATAAAAGTTTATAAAAGTGCAACACACAATATAAATTGCTCACACATTATCATGCTCCTTCCACAATAGTGGATCAAGGGTTGGTCTTGATGATCTCAGAGGTCCCTTCCAACCTGGCTGATTCTATGATTCTATGACAGAAGTTGTCCCGCAAACTATCAAAGCAGTTTTGCGTACACTGCTGTAGGGCTCAGCCTGTAACTCTGCTTGCATGCTGGCAGGCAGGGTGGGCTGGTTTCTGCTGACTGGACTTAGAGCTCTTGACCAGGAGATTGTGGCTTTGAGGCACCAAGTGGCAGCCCTGGAAGAGCAGATTGGCAATCTGAAATGTACATGAAGCTTAGAGCAGGCTGTGTTGGTTGCTCACAAACAGCACGGACGTGAACTGCAATGAATCATGGAGTGCTTGATGTCCTGCCTCTCTGGCATGTGGTCGATGGAACAGGGTGCAGGTACTTTCCACTTATTCAGTTTTTGCCCCTGTCCTGGATTTCTTTGGAAGTCCTGAGAAGTGTTATGGATATTGTTTGACAGTTTTTGGTATCTGTAGTTGAATGTGAGCCCAGGCCAGTAGACACCGGCCTGGTGCGGGCCCTGCCCTGGCCGTGGTGTGTTTTGCCTGGCGGGGAGGTTTAGTTTGCTGGATTGTATTCCCCAGGGGCATTGAAACAGTTCTTAGATGCTTGTTGGTGGGAGATTGGGGACTGGGTGCTGGCTGGGTTTTGGTGAGCAGGTCATGGAGCTGCTGCATTTAAAAAGTTTTGCTGCTTCTGGTAGCCTGCGGGGGAGGCATAACCCCCCCTTGCCTCCCTCACTCCTTCCCCTGCAGCTGCTTGGAGCTGCATCTCTAGGGTTTCTCAGTGCGGGGAGTGAGCAGCAGCCCTCAGCTGGCAGATAACAATACCTTGGTCATTTCTACTGATTCTGTTAAGCCTGCTTGAAACTCATATAGTGTTCAGAGAGCAACTGTTTCCTATGACCGTGTGGACAGAGTCCACCATTAGCTCCCAACTATGATATCAGATGTGTTTACCCCACTGAGAGACAGGAAGGGGGTATTTGATCCAGGGAGGATGCAGGCCCCTATTGAATTGTGCATCTTTCTAGGGTACTTGTGAACCTTTT